ATTTGTTCCGTCGATAACTGTTTTTATCCCTGGAGTGTCCGCATGTTTAGTTAATTAAAACGAAATACATACCGGCTGCGTTTGCGCATCGCGATCGGTATTTCCGTGGGAAACAATTTCCCTTGAGTGCTGATTCGACCGTTACACTCGCACAAATCGATTGTCCTTATTTTTCGCCCACGTTTCATGTAATCATTGTAATCGATCATTCAATTTCTCGACCCGGAACTGCAAAACGGTTATTAATCAAAATTTTGATTTTCCGTTTTCAGATTAAATAGCTTGCATTTCAATTTCGATAAATCATATGTACAATACTTTTTGAAATATTACTTCCAATCGTACAAAGCTCAAACTTTTCATCTCTTAACGTTTCTGCTTGATGCTTGGCAACTTGAATTTCGTTTCGATAACATGATATCGAGTGGAATCGATAAATTCGTTGATGAGATCGTGCTTCAGAAGAAAATTACTTTATTGAGGTTAGGACGTGCCTGAGACGCGAAATTTGACAAGCTCGTTTTCTGTCTTAGCAAAACAGTGTGTTTCTGTGTGCGTGCGCGTCAAGTAAGTGCAGTGAAATAAAATACTGAGTGAATTGCGCCGATTGTTTCTGAACGTCCGTTACCGTGTGTTTCGTCCTACGTGTCGTGACGTCAACTACGGTAAGTTTTACATATGCAACAAGCTACGTAGGTGGATGTTGACGCGTGTATGGTTTGGTCGGAGCGAAAATCAAAAGGGAAAGGGATTTTTTTGGAATACTTAAAGTCGAGAGGTAATGGTTGCAAGCCGGATATGCATAATTATAGTAATAGTAATGGCGTTAAATTCACTGCTATCGGAGCATATTTATTATCGAACTTTTTAATTTTAACTTTCTTTTTTTTTAATAAAGTTTTACGTGGAATAATTGTATTATACACGTTGGCTTTAACCTCGAACCAATTTATACCGGATACACCACCCATGTTGTTACATTCACCTATAATTATTCTCTACTACTGTAATTACACATTTTAAATATAGTACTCTTATTTTCTTATATTTTCTCAAAGAAACATCCCTTTTTCTTTCTCGATCTTCCTGCTTATCCTACTCTCTCACCACCATTCACTTTTTTCATTCATAATACAAGCAAGCCACGTGCCTTAAAACATACTGGCATAATCGATAAATGATTGATAACCGTATACCGGGAACTAGCGGCTCGTTGAACGTGCCGTGATTAAGGGGAGAACAACGCGTGACAAAATGTCGAGATATTTAGCAAAGCGTGCGACGGCCTCGTGACTCATAACCTAACCTCGAGAGAGAGAGAGAGAGAACAATTCTCGGGCAGGTAGGCATTTCAGTAGTGGGCGTACTCTCGAATTCTTGTCGTGTCGTTAGCATTCAACCGTGCCGGGGAAACCACTGTTCGACCATCGATTATAAACGCAAATACAGATTTTTCTATTTCGAGCGTCTTCTTATATTGGTCGTATCATTTTTGTAATTCTATATTTTTTACATGTGCGAGGGGAGAATTGACTAACGTAGTAGGTGTTGAGAGTAATTTTTCGGGTGGAATTAAAATGTTATTAGATATAAAATTAACAAATGAATTAATT